GCTGTCCTTTGTTTAGATTTAGAAACCAGCTTCATTGCCATTCTTAGGAGCCCAGATTTAGCCTTTTATTTCTTTTATATCCTGAGAGATGGAGTATAGGGGTGGGAGAGTGTGAAACTGGGAAGTGAAAAAAATACCTGTCACCCTAATCCTCCTTCCACATTTTTCTTGCATGGTTGTTTTAGAATAAAAGGCATCTATCTACACATGGCCTCTTTTCTAAAAAAACAAAATTACAGCTTTATTGGGATATAACTGTTAGCATAAAGTTCACCCTTTTAAAGTTAGGTGGTTTTTAGTGTATTCACAGAGTAGTGCATCCATCACCACTATCTAATTCCAGGACATTTTCTTCACCCCCAAAAGGAACCCTCTACCTTTTAGCACTCACTCCCAGTTCCATTCTTCCCCAGCCCCTGACAGTCGCTAATCTTTGTGTCTATAGATTTGCCTGTCCTGGACATTTCATATAAATAGACAAACAACACGTGGCTTTGCACAATGGGCACTTTTTAAAAATGACTTTTCCCCTTTGATTACAAAAGCAAAAGATGTACGTTGAAAAACATCTAGAAGGCCTGAGAAAATAAAACTCAGCAGGAATTTGCCTCCCTAACATGGAAATAATTACTGTGAATGTTTTGTGTGTCTTCCAGTTCTTCCTATATTTACATATTATGCACTTAGAAAAATGTGTGAAGTGGAAGAAATAGATGTTCAATAATGCTATGTGAAGTGAATATTATCTAGAACGTGTATTTTTTTTTATATAGCTTGATAAATATTTCATCTTATGGCTGTAGCACCAGACTGCTACTGTTGGAAATTTAGGTGATTTCTGTCTGTTTTCCCAATTATAAACGTTACAGTAAGCATTCTTATACATAGATCTTTGCACATTTTGAGGAGTGGAATTTCTGGGTCAAAGAATGCTATGTGTTGTGGAAGTGCCTTGAATAAGTTTCTATTCAATTTCTTAACTATTCCCCCCCCCCCCCCCCCAGGGGGTCTGCTGGCATTTAGGACAGGATCATTCTTCATTGTTCAGGAATGTCCTGAGCATTGCAGGACATTAAAATCTTTGATCCCCATCCAAGAAAGGGGCAAAGTACCTGCCTTTCATTCAGGGTGACAAGCGGAGGCACCCCCACCTGCGTAATGCTTCTTAGGGATGCTCCAGGAGAGGGGACACTGCTCTGGAGGTATTTGCTTCACGCTGCTGCCATTGAGCAATGGCAGATGGGGAAGCAGTGATCAAATCATATGATTTTCTGTCTTTTTCATTTCAAGTGAAATTATGAAAATTCTTCCACCTGCTGAGAAGTGCAGGCTCTGATTCTGATCTGACTTTGTGCTACCTCTCAGGTTCTAAAGCTTTTAGCCTAAAGTAGGATGGACCTCTTCCATTTCTGCTTTCTAAACACCCAAGGGGTGGGCCTGGCCACATGCAAGGCCTTGTCATCGGTCTAGGGAGGAGAGCAGGGTATGGTGCCCACTTTCAGAGTGGCATTGGAAGTCTGAGCAGGCTGAGGGCCCACTGAACAGCACTGCATGGTGGACTGTTACTTTAATGGACTCATGGGCTTTGTCTGAAAACAGGGGAAGATGCCCTTTGCCGGTATTTCAGTAATGAGCGGATTCCTCCCATCGTCGAAGAGAGCTCGGCTCCCCCGTACCGGTTCTCCAGACCCACGACAGAGCGGCATCTGGTGCGAGGTGCAGACTACATCCGAGGGAGCAGGTGCTACGTCAATTCAGATCTCCACAGCAGTGCCACAATCCCATTCCAGGACGAAGGGACCAAAAAGAAATCTGTCTCCTCAGCCGCCAAGTCCTCATCCACGGAGCCGTCCCTGCTGGTCAGCTGGTTGACCCGCCTGAAACTGTTGACTCACTGATGCTGCTGGCCGGACTCCCGCCTGGCTGCTACGACAAGTGCCTTGTGTCCCCAGTGGACAGCCTCTTCTGATTTCATCCACAGTATTATGTAGTGACCTTATGTGATTTTATTGTTTTGTTTCGGAAAGTGGTTACACTGCCCTTCTCAGAATTTTGAAGTAATGGGAACAAATCCAGAGGGCCTCAGGTGCTGGCTTTGGAGGCGGAAGGAGGGAAATGGGTCGAGTCTGCTTTTCCTGCTTCCCCAGAGTTGGGACATGGGGACAAGCTCTAGAAATTGTTGTCTTGGCCAGAAATGCTCTGGTCATTGTGAGGAACTGGCAGCATTCCTGTGTTTTGGGGGGTGGGGGAGAGAGGGGACTAAAATTGGTGGCGATTGTCACACAGATTTGTTGGTTTGTGGTCCAACTACTTTACCAGAAAAAGCCAGTGGAGAAAACACTTTTGTTTGAATTTTAAAGCTATATGCGATATTTGTAAGTGTAGCAGCCTTGAAATAACATGTGGCGAGTGTCTAATGCTCTTTCAAAGCAGAGGTGTAAGTGTGGGTCTGTTACACTTGGTGAACCCCCATTTTTCTAACAGTCTCGGTGTATAGGTCAATTGATACAGAAACACATGGACACATTTTGATAGGGCTTACTATATATAAAGAAGTTTATGGTTATTTGTGAGGGGTGTCATTGCTGTTGTTATATATTATTGTCTTTAAGGGAAAAGAAGCTATAAGATTTGCTGACAGCCAAAGTATCATTCCAAAAAGTAAAGCAACAAGATTTATTTAGGTTTATGAGAGAGATGTCAGTTTGCATTTTGACCTGTTCAATGTCTGTTTTTCCAGAAAAGAACATGCAGTTCTTCAAAATTGTACACCTTTTGCTAATCAGATATATCTTGAAAAACCTCATGGTCACTAATTTTCAACTAGCATCAGGTATTTTGAAAAAGTGTGTCTGGATATTAACTCTTGTTTAAACTGAATGTATGATATTTTGTTAGAATGGAAAAGTACTATCTTGTTAATTTAAGTGTTTTAAATATAGTTGTATATTTTTCTTACTCTTAGTCACATGTAATTAAAATATTTCTGTTTGCATCATACATGAAGCTAATGATAAAGAGTGTTCAGGGTGTTTTCAAATTAACAGGTGGCCCCCATGGCCTTTGCCACCATGGGTGCTATTGTTAAAAAAAAACAAAAAAAAAACACTCCCAAACATTTTGGGATTTTATGGATTAGAAATGGAGGAGCTGAAGAAGTGTGTGTAAAGCAAAACTACGCTGGGAATTTTCTGAGGTATATTCCTGAGCAGAGCTGGTATCCCCTACCTCAAAATATACTCTCTTACACCGCTGGAATCGTGTGCTTTGCTGAACTGCCTGGAATTCAGCTAATGAGAGATTCACTGGAGTTAGGAAACATCTTCCCTTTAATGTGCCTCTGGTGGTGTTAAAGGAACTAGCAACCACTCACATATTAATGTGATTGAATTCAGTCAGGCTGTTTTCCTACCAACCTCTAAGGGAACTATAGTAAAAATATGAGTATTTCATGGGAGATCCAAGGGCATTGGACAAACTGAAGGACAGAGGCAGCTTGGGTACTTGACATGATATTGTGAAGGGTGTGAGGTGGGGAGGTCTGTGTAGGGCACTGGTGACCAAGAAGGAGCTGTGTAAAGAGAGAAGAGCCAGCCCTTGCCTGCTTTACTGTTAGCGTGAGCTGGCTTTGTGCCCAGGAAATGGGGTGGTGACACTTCTCACTTTTGGACTGAGGGGAGGAATCTTACTGCTGTAGTTTTGCTGCATAATGAAGTAGATCGCTTTGGAAGGCTTAGCTGGCCGTTTAGCTCTTTTCTGTGGAGAAAATGCCATTTGGGGGTTGAATAACCTCCCTCCAGATGAATTTTCAGAAGTCAGTCATAACTGTAATAGGCAGCGTCCAACCAGGCTCTGTTGCCTGAAGTCCCAGGGGTGGCCAGAGAAGTTTCTGGGGTCCTTTATCTTCAGTCAGCCTCTGCCAGCTTCATTTTTAATTTTTATTTTTATTTGGAGCTTTCTCCTGAATCATGTTTGAAAAATATGTTCCTGCTATAAAAAGTTTGTAAACCTCTGCTATTAAAATGTATAAATAATAGTTTAATATGAATTTCTTAGAAACCAGTGGAAACTGCATCCTGAACTGCATTCGGGTTTAATGGTGGGCGTGTGCTCACATATGGAGAGGGCAGGATGACACTTTTGACATGACACTTTACAACAGTGGTTTTTGAATCCTACCAGACCCAACTCAACACCCATCTCTTTTTATAATAAATATTTAATACCAACATCGCTTTACAATCATCAAATGAAAGTCATGGATGATAAAACTTACCTTCACACATAAAAGCATCCACCCCATTTACTACTCTGAAATGAAACTAACAGATAATATAACTGGCTTCTAAACATATACATCAATATAATTTCCTAACTGAAATGTAAACAAGTATAAATATTTTATAATTATTTTAACATGTCAATGCTCTAGCATGATTATATTACAAGATGTAATGAAACAATGAAACAAGGCACATACTTTGTGTGTATGTATATATAAATATAAAAAAAATTACCACGAACATGGTAGCTATAAATGCAGACCAATGAATACGACCCCAAAAGCACGGGCAACCAAAGGAAAAATAAACAAATGGGATTATATCAAACTAAAGAGCTTCTGCACAGCAAAAGAAACAATTAACAGAGTTAAAAGACAACCAACAGAGTGGGAGAAAATATTTGCAAAATATACATCTGACAAAGGATTAATATCCAGAATATACAAGGAACTCAAACAATTTTACAAGGAAAAAAACAAACGACCCCATTAAAAAATGGGCAAAAGAGCTAAGCAGGCATTTCTCTAAGGAAGATATACAAATG